TAAAATTTAAAAACAATAAGAGTGAATTATTTTACAGGCTGTTTAACTGTTAGATGAAGGGAAGATGATGAAGCAGCCAGAGCAGCTTTGGACGGAGATAAACAGTTTATTCCAATAAACAGATGGATTATAGGACACTGCTGACTCAGCATTATTTTCAGGTGGGGAGAAGTGTTTTTTTTTTCTCCTTTAGTTGCATCTGCTTTGTGTTTATCTATGATGAACCAATCTGTTTGTATGAAAGTATTCCTGGCTTTTTCCACATGCTGTCTCTTCCAGACTTTTGCCAAATAAAGCAGAATTAAAGGCGCATTCCTTTCAGCAGGATGTTTGGAATAGAAACTGAAGCGAATAATGGATGGAGTCAGATGGCTGGCGGACGGAATGATGGATCCGGGTCTGAACGGCAGCCATGACAGCAGTCAGATGGCGAATAGAAACGCGTCTTTAGATTTCACTTCATCTTTCTATTGACCTGTCAGAATGACTCGACGGCCGCCGCAGTGACCTGTCACAGACACACAGCACTGAAGAAATGAAAAGTGCATTTCTGCTTTTGTTTGATTGATGCAGTTTTTTATTTCCTTTATCTTCTGCGAGGTTTCAGCAGATTTGCTGTTTGAACAGCAGAACGTTTCCTTAAAGTTTTAGCAGGTTTTTAAGGAGGGAAAAGATGGAAATCATCCATCAGACCTTCAGGTCAGACTTAAATAAACCTTTGGATCATGTTGTGTTAAATAAAGAAAAGAGGTTATCTTAGGGAGCAGCCTCCCCCCTGCGGTGCATTCTGCTGAGATGATGACTCTCCTCATTTCTGGTGGGATCCTGATTTCTGCCAGCAGGTTTATAGCTTCACATGTTAGACGAGGTTGATTTAATCCTTTATTTTATCGCTCACAGTCGGACTCTGACCCTTGAGGGGGAAATTTGGTGTAATGACTGCAGTAAAGTAACAAATTGCTGAAACGTGAGAGAAGTCAGTTTGTCCTTTAGGCTGATGGTGTTATGATGTTTCGGCCTGAAGGAGAACATCTCGTTCTGCAGCTCGTGGCAAAGATCTACTGCTTCATCACAACGCTAATGGTTTCCTTCTGATCCTGCTTGGTGAAGGCATGTAGGACGGCGATTTAGGGCGTGAAGGAAGCCGTCTGTGCTGAGAAAGAAAAACCAACCAAGACCTCACCTATTCAGCCAGGCCAACTATTCCCTCTAACGCCCCCCCTTTCAGAGACATAGACAGGTATGGGGCATTGCAGGCTAACAAAGAAGCTAAACGACCCCCATTCCAAAGGGGGGGACCCGTTCATCCGTTTCTATTTGCATGTTTTCTAAACTAAAACCAGGCTTTGTTGGGCTGCTGGATAAAACCTGGAACTAAACACTATTTCTGACATTTTGAACTGAAAAATCTTCCTGGATGGAAGAGAAACGTCTTAAAACTTGGAAACAAAGTCCGGTAGATTGATTTTAACTTTTATTTGGAATGAAAGTTATTTAAAGCATCTCTGTTTGTGTCAGTCGGTATCAATAAGCCGTAATCTAAGTCATTGTGTTTTCCTTTCAGAGCACCTTAAAGTGGCGTTAGAGGAATACATGGTACGGCTGCCAAAGGTTCGCATCCTGAGGACCAAGAAGAGGGAGGGGCTGATCAGGACTCGGCTGCTGGGAGCCGCCGCCGCCGTAGGCGAGGTCATCACCTTCCTGGACTCTCACTGTGAGGCTAATGTCAACTGGCTGCCTCCTATGCTTGGTGAGCAAAACGTCATTTATCTGAATTTACTGAAAAATGATCAACCAATCGCTTTAAATGAGAACGTTCTCTCATTTTATAAGCATTGTTTCTGCTGAGAGATAAACGCTCCATTTCTTTCTGTTAAAGGTTTGTTTTCTTGAAGTTGCATCATTTTATTTTGCATTTATTGATGTTCTAACAGGTGGACATTTGTACTGATTTATTTGTTCTATAGTTTGGCCTTTATCTCTATACCGTTTTAATGTTCTTATCTAATTATACTGTATAGATGTTGGCTGATTTATCTATAGACTAAATATGTTGGTGGAACTTTCTCTCTTCAGCCAGTTGTCTTTCTGTGGGTCTCAGTAGTAGCCATCTTCCTCCCTGTCCCTCCACCGTCTCCCTGGGAGCCTGCGCTGTGCAGAAGGCAGCCAGTAGACATAAACCCCCAGTGTTTGGTGAACGCCCCCCTGGGCCTCATCCCAATAGGACGGGGCGGGTAAACATCCTGAAAGAGGCGCAGAGGAGCATCCAGGCCGCTTCTCCTCTAGCTTTGCTTCTGCTATGAATGCAAACTAGTTCAGATGAAGAAGAGGAGCTTCGCCGTGGAGCCGCCGTGGCGGCGAATGAAGCGCTGAATTCATACCTGATCTACTGGCTGTTGCTTGGCAGCGCTGCTGCAGCTATGCTCCTTCATCTTTTCAGGATGCATCGTCTGTCTGTTCCAAAATTAGAAATAAAAAGTCTGACTGAGGCGCTGGATGCAGCAGAGCCTCAGTTTTCCTCCGTTTCCTGGTTTCTGTTCTCTCCATGTCTGCTCAGTGGAGCGACTGTGGTTCACCTGTGTTACACCTCATTTTTCAATTGCTTTATAACTGAAAGAATGTCGCACCAAACAAACTTGATGAGTATAAATGTTGTTTTTATGGAAAGCTGCTCCCATGTGACTCAGTGCTGCTGCAATAAGAGGCCTGATTAAAACACATTCAGTTGCTTCTGCAGAAGAAAAGATGATTCAATTCAATTTCAATTCAGTTTATTTATATAGCGCCAAATTCACAACACATGTCATCTCAAGGCACTTTACAGTTCAACCAGATCATACAGTCAAATTGATACAAAGTTTTCTATCTAAGGAAAACCAGTTGATTGCATTGACTCAAATACAATCCCCCACACTAAGCATGCTTGTAGCGACAGTGGAGAGGAAAAACTCCCTTTTAACAGGAAGAAACCTCCAGCAGAACCAGGCTCAGTGTGAGCGGCCATCTGCTGAGGCCCACTGGGGTTCAAGGAGACAGAAGCAGAGATACAAAAAGCAGCTGTAAAAGGCGGCCCCGTCCAGGAAACACACAGCCAGGCAGACGAGCTCCAAGGCAGCTCCCATTCCAGAGGACGAAGAGAGCACATCCACTCAGTCACGGTCAGAGAAACAGGACCACACTGGAAAACAGGCCGATCTCCAACATGTATTAACAAGGGTGTTGATAGAAGCAGCACAGCTGATGTTTTTTTTCCAGGATGACGTCACAACCAAACAGGAACAGACGAGGCAAAGCTACTCTGAGGAAAAGCAGAGAGAGCAGAAGGTTAGAGATTGAACTAACAGATTCTGCAGAATAGGAGAACAGAGAGAGAATGAAGCAGAATGATTAAATGGGGGTCCCTATGTCCTCCAGCAGTCTAAGCCTATAGCAGCATAACTATAGAGATAGCTCAGGATAACCTGAGCCACCCTAACTATAAGCTTTATCAAAAATGAAAGTTTTAAGCCTAGCCTTAAAAGTAGACAGGGTGTCTGCCTCACGGACTAAAACTGGTAGTTGGTTCCACAGGAGAGGAGCCTGATAACTAAAAGATCTGCCTCCCATTCTACTTTTAGAAATTCTAGGAACGATTAGTAAACCTGCAGATTGAGAGCGAAGTGCTCTGTTAGGAACATAAGGAACAATCAGATCTCTGATATCAGATGGAGCTTGGCCATTTAAGGCTTTATATGTGAGAAGAAGGATTTTAAATTCTATTCTTGATTTAACAGGAAGCCAATGAAGAGAAGCCAGGATAGGAGAGATATGATCTCTCTTTTTTATTTTCATTAGAACTCTGGCTGCAGCATTTTGGATCAGCTGAAGGCTTTTAACTACAGTTTGTGGACTTCCTGATAGTAAAGAATTACAATAGTCCAGCCTTGAAGTAACAAATGCATGGACTAGTTTCTCAGCATCACCCCTGGACAGGATATTTCTAATTTTTGCAATGTTCCTCAGATGAAAGAAGGAAATTCTAGAAACCTCTTTGATATGGGATTTAAATGACAGGTCCTGATCAAAAATAACACCAAGATTTTTTACTTTATTATCTGAAATCAGTTTAATCCCATCCAAATGAAGTGACTGGCTAATCAGTTTCTTTTTCAGAGACTCTGGTCCAAAGACTATAACTTCTGTTTTGTCTGCATTCAGAAGCAGAAAGTTAAGAGTCATCCAGGTTTTTATGTCTTCAAGACATGCCTGTAATCTATGTAATGGGTTAGCTTCATCTGGATTTATAGACAGATATAGCTGGGTATCATCAGCATAACAGTGGAAATTAATCCCATGCTGTCTAATAATTCTACCAATTGGGAGCATGTATAAAGTAAAGAGAATTGGTCCTAGCACTGATCCCTGTGGTACTCCACAGGTAACCTTTGAGCGTGTTGAAGATCTATCATTAACATGAACAAACTGAATTCGATCAGATAGATAAGATTTAAACCAGTCTAGTGCTGTTCCTTTAATTCCAACAAAATATTCAAGTCTTTCTAAAAGAATATTATGGTCAACTGTATCAAATGCAGCACTAAGATCCAACAGGACGAGCACAGATACAAGTCCATTATCTGAGGCCATGAGAATATCATTAGTGACTTTCACCAGAGCTGTTTCAGTGCTATGATGAGCTCTAAAGCCAGACTGAAACTCTTCAAAAAGTTCATTATGGTGGAAGTGATCGCAAACTTGTTTGGCAACTACTTTCTCAAGAATTTTGGATAAGAAAGGAAGATTGGATATAGGTCTATAATTGACCAAGTCATCTGGGTCAAGAGACGGTCAAGAATCCCATAAAATCATTGCTGCTAAGAGCAGGTGGAATGGACGGTTCAACAGAGCTATGGCTCTGGGTGAGTTTGGCAACTGTATTAAAAAGAAATCTAGGATTATTCTTATTCTCCTCTATTAATGAGGAGAAGTATGCTGCTCTTGCTTTACAAAGGGTCCTCTTATACAGCAGTAAACCATTTTTCCAGACTAGGAAGGACTCTCGCAGGCCTGTGGAGCGATATTTTCTCTCCAGTTTCCTAGCATTTTGCTTCAAAGTACGCAGCTCTGCATTAAACCAAGGAGCAAGCTTTCTATTTTTAACGGTTTTCATTTTCAAAGGAGCTGCGTTGTCTAAGGCAATACGCAGAGAACTAGCAACCCCATCAACAAAATCATCAACCTGTGAAGGGGAATAAGCTAAGCTTTTGCACTCTGCAGCACTGCTCAGTGACACAGAGCAGAGAGAAAGTGAAGCAGATTCTTTAAAATTTATAACTGCACTATCTGATAAAGATCTACTAAAATTGAACCTTCTTTTGGGGGAGGAGAACTCTGTTAAAGTAATCCTGAAGGTTATTAGAAAGTGGTCAGAGAGGACAGGGTTGTGAGGAAATACTGTTATTTCTTCACATTCTATGCCGTATGTCAGCACAAGATCCAAAGTATGAAGATGAGAATGCGTGGGACTATTCACATTTTGAACAAAGCCAATAGTGTCTAAGATAGCATTAAAGGCTGCTCTTAAGCTATCGCCTTCAATGTCAGCATGGATGTTAAAATCTCCCACTATGATGACCCTGTCAGTATTTAATACCAAATCAGAAAGGAACTCTGAAAACTCATCTAAAAATTCAGAGTAAGGACCTGGTGGACGATACAAAGTTACAAAAAGAAGAGGTTTTCTTGCCTTGAAATTTGGATCAGGGAAATTAAGGGTTAAATGTTCAAAAGAGTTGTAGGTATTAATTGTTTTGAGAGTAATCAGTAAGTCAGACTGGAAGATTGTTGCTACTCCTCCTCCTCGCCCAGAACTTCTGGGGATGTGAAAATTTAAATAGCTTGAAGGAGTTGCCTCATTTATGCTCACATAATCCTCTTGCTGCAGCCAGGTTTCTGTAAGGCAAAACAAGTCAATGTGATTATCACAAATCAAGTCATTAACTAGTAGACTTTTAGAGGAAAGCGATCTTATGTTAAACAGACCGCATTTAATTGTTTTAACTTTTTCCCCAATTGGAGTTATTTTGATTTTAATTAGATTATCATGATTTACTCCTTTGGGAATCTTTGCTAATTTATTAGATTTTGGTCGTGGGCAAGACACTGTCTGGATGGAGTAAAGAGTGGGTAACAGTAGAGAAGCTGCAGAGATGTGTGTTAAACTACAACTCTGCTTCCTGGTCTGCACCCTGGGTGGTCAGGGTTTTGGAGGACTAATAAATGTGGCCAGATTCCTAGAAAGAAGAGCTGCACCATCCAAAGTGGGATGGATGCCGTCTCTCCGAATCAGACCAGGCTTTCCCCAAAAGGATTGCCAATTATTAATGTAGCCCACGTTGTTTTCAGGGCACCACCTAGACAACCAGCGGTTGAATGACGACATGCGGCTAAACATGTCATCACTGGTCAGATCAGGGAGGGGACCAGAGAAAATTACGGAGTCCGACATTTTTTTGGCAAACTTACACACCGAAGCAACACTAATTTTAGTGACCTCCGATCGGCGTAACCGGGTGTCATTACCACCAGCGTGAATAACAATCTTACTGTATTTAACCTTATCCTTAGCCAGCAGTTTCAGGTAGGATTTGATGTCGCCCGTTCTGGCCCCCGGCAAACATTTGACTATTCCTCTGCAATGATGAGACAATCAGCCAGAGAACAGCTACTTGGTGTTATTGACTGCTGGAAATGATCTTCTCTCCACATCTTTAAAGAATCTGAGTGAAGCTTTTATATCTTTTTATTCTCAGGGTCTCATATTACAGCCATCAGTGCAGCTCGCTGATATTTCTGCTTTCTGATGTTATTTATGGTTAATAAAATATGTGGTTCATTTTGCAATAAACGCTTTTTTCCTGTTGCTAAAATAAAATCTGTTCTTTTTTGATCGTTTAATTCATGGTTCCCGCGGGTCCTTGAAAAGTCTTAAAAGGCATTGAATTCTTCAAAAATAAAATTAAGGCCTTAATTGGTATTAAAATGTCTTAAATCAGTCTTTCGTAGGTCTTAATTTTTAAAACATCATAAATAGGATTATTTTTATTACAATTTATTTTTGTAATCTAAATAAAATAGATAAAAAAAAATTTTTTTTTTTTTTTTTTTTAAATAACATCTTGCCATTATTGGTTCTTGTAAATTTGGTCTTAAATTTTTCTTTCAAGTGGCATTAAAAGTCTTAAAGTCTTGAATTTAACTCGCCTTATGCTGTAGGAACCCTGGAATAGTCACTATTTTAAATGAGGTGATTTAGGAAGGTTTGTTTGAAAAAGTGCTTTTATTTTGTCTATAAAGTCTGAGCTGAAGAAGAGGTGAAAATAGAGCGACTCTGTTTAGAGATTCTGAGTGTTTTAGTGAAAAAGGATGAAAGTTTTAGGCTCTGTCACATCAGTTTCACAATCCATACCTCAAGGCTTCATACATCTTTCATTTGCCAGGAATTTTTTCCAAGCTGTGGGAATCCTGAGTTCTTCATTAGAAGGTGAATGGACCTACTTCTAGTTTCTAAAGGTTTTTACTCCCCTGCTCAGATACACTCAGAGGAAAAGCTGTTTCTATCTGATAAAGTCTGTCTGCTGCAATAAAATAAAGGAACCAAATGGTGTTTTTCTATCTGAAATAATTGATTATTCTAAGATTAGTTTAATGGTTTTCATTGTATTTAGGTGTTTGTGACAGTAGAGACTTTCTAGAAACTCCCAGACATTTACAGTCTGAGAGAAGAAATCTCTAAAAGCAAAAAGTCAGGCTATTGCTTTTAACGCTGCTTTTTTTTATGCCTCTTTAGACCGAATCGCCCAGAACAGGAAGACCATCGTTTGCCCGATGATCGACGTCATCGACCACGACAACTTTGGCTATGAAACGCAGGCGGGCGATGCCATGCGAGGGGCTTTCGACTGGGAAATGTACTACAAACGGATCCCCATCCCTGCAGAGCTGCAGAAGGACGACCCCAGTGAGCCGTTTGAGTGAGCAGAGTCATTTCAGACGCTTTCAAACATCTTTCCTCTTGTGCTAAGAGTGCATTTATCAGTGGCTCCTCGCTGTTCATCTAAACATTTATTTCTGTCCTGGAGCTCACATCCTTTTCAGAGTTTTTACATTTTCTTTGAGCTTTAATCAAGGATATAAACGTTAATTTTCTGGTTTCATGTTTAATGAAAATCTGCTGCTTTTTAAATATTTGCAGCATCTATGGTCAGTAACTCAGGAAAAAGCTCAGAACATTGAACTTAGATTCTTAAAGTGTTTTCTTTACATTTCTTCACACAAAGATCAAAGTAACATCTTCAACGTCCGGATTTTGTTTTTAAATATATTTTAGGGATCTTTTATAACTTGAACTAATTAGAAAAATGCAAATATGTAAAATTATGTTTTTCTTCACTGAGTCGTTTTTTTGGTTTCTCAAAAGTTTTAGTTGGAATTTATAGAAGTTTTTTTTTTTTGGTAGTTTCACTGCGACCAAGATTTTTATTTGATTATTGTTTTTGCTTTAACCTCTTAATATCCACCTCATTTTGGGTAATCCTCGTCTATTCTGCGTACCCAAATGGAAAAGCAAATAACTTAGGAACCATAAGCCCAGATTATATGTGCAATACATCATTTAAAAGGTAACATCCTCTTCTTTACTAATATATAAATTAAAATTTAGTGAGTAGAACACAGACCAACCTGCATCAGTTTAAACATGACTCAAAGTTGTTTTGTTTTTTTATTCTCTGAAAAGATCAGTCTTTTTTGAACAGCAGTAATAAAAACATTCTTTTTAAAAAAAAGCAGGTTTTATTGTATTAAATTTGTTCTACATCATCTCAACCACAGATGCAGAAAATTCCAGACCTCTTTCTGTAACAGTTCCAGAGCTGTAGGGTTTGGAACTTAAAAATGTGCATTATGCATTTTATGCATTCTGAATTATTACCCCCCCACTTAGGTTCCACTGGTGGGTTTTAAAGGGTAATTTAATAATTTCATCAGTTCAGATAATGATCAGTTATGTTAAAATAATCCCAATAAAAATAAAAAAATGACCCAGGAAGCAGAGGAGGGACCTCATCCCTCAGATTAATCAACATAACTGCATAAAACTTTATAAATGACATAAAATATACTGTTTATCGCTGTTACTCTGTCTACTAGTTTATATTTAGTAAACTTTTTAACTATTAAACAAAATAAAGCACTTTAGAATATGTATTTTTTTGGTTTTGGCACATCCGTTTGCACGGCATCGTTCCTCGCCACAGTTTCCCTTTGAACGATGGAAGCAGAGTAAATAAAGTAAAGTTTGCAGTTTTCTGCTTCTGATGCCAGATGCTCCGTTCCAGAGACCGTCTGTGTTTATAAATCAGAGACTGTTTAGAAATACTGGAGGTCTGATCAGGCAGAGGGTCTGTGCAGCAGGAGGAGAAAGAAATAAGGTGCAGAACAATCCGAATCAATTAATCTGCTCTTCTTGCTCAATCAAATGACCTTCATCAGTGCAAATTCAATTTGAGTCGCAAAGATTTCATTTTCTCTCTGATTGACGTTGCTGCAGCAGAAAATGAGGCTCAGAGGGGAAAAGTGTTTGTTTAATGAACAATTTTATCATCTTCTTGTCTGTCATTGACTGTTTGGTCGATGGAAGCACCTCTTGGTCCTTTTTCTCCTTTTCTTGTAATTTCTGTGGAAAGAAATCAAAGCATCTCGTCTTCTTCCAGGTCAGTAAACTAAATATGGAATGTGGAATAAAAGCCACAGCGTTTCTAATTAATCCTGAATGGGCAGCAGGAATAAAAATGACCTATTGACTTAGATTTTGCTTCATCTAAAAAACAGCAACATTTAAATTAAACCATTTAAAATTGGCCAAATGTAGTAAAGCCCCAAATCTTGATTTAATCTCAGTCTTAGTCTGGTCAGTCAGTCCTTCTCCATCTGGAAGCAGCCAGCGTCCCACTGACAGGAAAATACAAGTTTTAAGATCCAGTTTTTCTTACCTGCATCGAACCAGTTTGATCTCAGCAAACCAAGCTAGGAGCATAATTCAGTTTAACACATTACTGTGATTTATATGGAACAACGTCAAGAAAAACTGAGGGACAAAAGCAATTAATAAGGTTTATATGAATAATTCTTTCTGTCCATTGACACACAAACCATCCCACCTTTTAATACGTGGTTATTAACAACGCCTGCTGCTGTTTATAAAAAAACATTATAAAAATAATCTTTATATCGTGTCAGTCATGCTGATAATCCTCCTTTTATTTTATGCTCTCTAGCTATATGTCTATGTTCCTGCATTGTGGACTTTTTTTAACTAATACTATTTCATTCTGTCTAAATGTTTCAGTTCAAATATTTCTGCTTCCAAATGGATCCAAAAAAGTTTAAAATCAATCCTCTGGACTTTGTTTCCAGGTTTGAAGACGTTTCTCTTCCATCCAGGAAGATTTTTCAATTCAAATGTCAGAAATTTTGTTGAGTTCCAGGTTTTATAGAACCGACCAAGAACAAGCCTAGTTTTTATTTAGTTATTTTAGAATGAGACACTCTGAGGAGGAAGACTGACAATGTTCACCACGATTTACCAAATGGATAAACTTATTTTATTAAATATAAACCCTTTCCCTTGTTATACACTTTTATTTATAGAGTAAACGGTGTTTGGAACGATTCCGGTTTTAGTAACAATTAAATATTAGTAAGTAAGAAAGTTTTCATGGAGAAATATTTTACAATATAAACTGTGTCCTTGTGAGTATCTTAACTTGAATAAAAAAATTGCTTAAATTCAGTTTGTATAATCTTTGACCATTAGACCCAGGCAGCTTTACACAGAGCCGTCGCCTAGCAACAGACGATGGGCGCTGAGCGAGGTGACAGGAGGTCAACTCATTAGCATTTTACATTAAGAGAAATACAGTTACAGGCGCTTTGTTTGCTCATTATTCTCTAACAGATGGAAATTATGTTATTGGATGTTTCTGGGCTGGATGGCAAGATTTACTTCATTTAATTCATTATTACAAATATATATATATATATATATATATATATATATATATATATATATATATATATATATATATATATATACGTGTTTGTGTGGGTGTGTAGTTTTATTCTCCTGGATTTCATATTTTTTCCTGAATTGTCATGAATCTATTTGTAACAAGAATTAAATGTTTAACTCATAAATGTATCAAACTATGAGTTTGGATGGAAAGGCTGAGCTGAGCTCTTTGCTGCGTTTAAAGCCTCATAGTTTAAACCTTTATAGTTTTAATCGTAACGTTTTATTATCCATTCATATCCTGTTTTTGCAGTGTGATTACATGTAATATTCATGGGATTTAAAACTTGTATGATCATTTAATGAATCTGCTATCAGTGCATGATTTTGTGTAATTCATTAATTGTCATTATTCTGATTAATAATAATAATTATTTTCATAACGGTCATTGTTGTGATTATGTTAGTAGCATTATTTAGTGGCAGAAGATTAAAGGAATAGTACACCCAAAACATGATTAGCCTTCATTTTCTACTCACCCCCATGCTGAACAACACTCTGGAGTACTTTTTTGATATCTCAAATGCATCTGGAGATCTGGGAGGCTTCTTGCTGTCTGCTGACATTCAAATAATGGAGGTCTATGGCGTAGGAGACAGAAAGGTCCATAAAAGTCCACAAAAAACGTGTCAATATTCCTCCATACTGCTCGTCCAATGTATTCCAAGTGTCCTGAGTGGGTAGCGTCCAGAATTTACTCGAAACGAAGTCATTTAGAATGTTTTTAGAGCATAAACAGTAGTGTATAGGATTTCCTAAAAGCGCGTTCACGAGTCTACGGAAGCCGGCAGACCAAACCAGATGAAAGTGCGCATTCAGCGTCTGCTCTGCCGATAATGCAAGCGTAGAAGAAGAAATATGCTGTTTACCTGTGCAAAGAAAGAAACAACGAAAGAAAAACGTCTGAGGACTTCAGTGTTGAGGAAGAGCATGAGTTCTTTGCCGAGCTGAATGCGCTGGGTTGGTCTGCCGGTTTCCGTAGACTCGTGAACGCGCTTTCAGGAAATCCTATACACTACTGTTTATGCTCTAAAAACATTCTAAATGACTTCGTTTCGAGTAAATTCTGGACGCTACCCACTCAGGACACTTGGAATACATTGGACGAGCAGTATGGAGGAATATTGACACGTTTTTTGTGGACTTTTATGGACCTTTCTGCCTCGGGCGCCATAGACCTCCATTATTTGAATGTCAGCAGACAGCAAGAAGCCTCCCAGATCTCCAGATGCATTTGAGATATCAAAAAAGTACTCCAGAGTGTTGTTCAGCATGGGGGTGAGTAGAAAATGAAGGCTAATCATGTTTTGGGTGTACTATTCCTTTAAGTTATTGTTTCCTTTTTATTATCATCAGTTTTTGCAGTCTTTTTCCCCCCATATCCCGTTTCTCTCTTTTCTCTGTTTTAGCAGAACAAATATCTTATATATATATATAAGAAATATAAGAACAAGTAAATAGCCAATAGTTTTTTTTAGTTAATTTATTTTACTCTAACCTACATCATGTATTTGCATCTTGAATTAGTACTCTTAAATCTTAATGTCCTTTACATTAAAGGATTTAGTTTTTTTTTATTATTATCTTACCAACTCATGTTTTCATATCTGTTTAACTAAATTTGGACTCATGTCCCAATTCAATAAACTTAATATTTAAGAAAGGAAAGAGATAAACCTGGATTAAGATCAGCTCAGTTTTAGGATTCTAACGGCTGCAAAATCAGATTAGCTGTTCTTTATTAAATAGGAGAAAAGAAATAAACTGCCAACATTGATTTATTTTCAGAGCGTGTCGCAGATATCGTTGATTTCTGCCCAATATTGCAGCGTGGTCTGCGCTGTTATTCCACGCCACAACGGGCCAATCAGGAACCAGCTGTGGGTCTAGATACGGCCGAG